CTGCAACCTCCCCCTCTAGTTGTGATGTTTGTCACTCATTTTACTTTTCTAATATAACTTTCGCAGGTAATACCTGTGCGAACCGAGACATCAAGAAAAGTGTTTATCAGCTTTACTCTACTGCACGTAACGGTGCTTTCACTAAAATTGAACGCCTGCCTTCTCTTGGAATTCCTGTCGATTGGTGAAGCAAGTATGGCAAGAGATTGCTGATGAGGGCTACTTGGGATGGCAAGCCATAGGTAACAAAGATCTTAATCAGTAATACAGCTGATCTGGTCTCAACAAACCTCAGTGGACTGAATTACTCACATCTGGCCTCGTCTGATGTTCACCCTAATGTAATTTTTGTAAATTTCCTTTTTTTCGGTTATCGAAGAGATTGTTTAAGTGTAGCCTCAAGAGAAAACCCCTTCAATTATGATTTTATAGGATCAGTGTGGAGCATATGAGGCCTATTTTGGGTGTTAACATATACATGTACTTCGTATGTTCATGCTAACAATATTTTCCACTGAGAAATGTAGATTATACATATACGTATTTTATTGAAAATTTGTACTAATTAGTCCATGCTACGCACTCTCAGTAGTCACGTCTTTGTGCAAACACCATCAGGTTTTGTATTTCTGGCAGTTTTTGATAGACGACCGGGAAAATTGTTTATATGTTAATTTCTATTGAAATATGAGTGCAAAATCTCCCAGTGGTGGAATGTAAATATAGTAATAACGATTTTATTAGTACCACAGATAATATCTTAATACATATTTCCGGTAACAGATGACGTTGCCCCCTTTCGCGGTCATCCCAAGTTCCGTCACCCCCAAGTAAGTTCTGTCACCTCGAAGTATGACTGCGTCGCCACAAACTTGAAGTTGTTTCGCCCCTAGCGTGTGATTTAACTTTGATTGAGGCTTTAAATGCATATCGAAAAGTTCCAAAACTTAGAGTTAATTTACCTCTGGCTTTAACAGCCTGAAAGCGCAAAGTCGGGTCGTCTCCCTTTTTGGCTCATGCGGAAACGTTTGATCGCTGTTATGGGGAAGATAAAGAAAGGGCAGTTGAAGCTCTCCTAAGAAGCTAGTTAAGAGACAGAGAGAAGTGCAAGAATTATTTTTTTCCTTTCCCACACCTAAAATATGGTGCTAGGCGATTGTTAAATAATTGCCAAAGATGGCGCAAACTTAAAGAAACTGCGGCTTACGAAGTATCGATCAGAGTCCAAATATAACTTCGCTATGGAAAACGAATAAAAACTTCCATTGCCTCTGTTTTATTAGTAAAAGGGAAACTACGGACATTTCTTATCTCTTGCTCGTATAAGACATTCGTCGCTTTGTTTTTTTAATTCTTTCTCTTCGCAAAAGTGATGACGGCCTTCTCAGTGAAGTAATCCATAATTTTATCAGTTTTCAGAGGTTTAATGCCCATATTATTTTACAATGCCAAGAAAAAGTTGCGTCGGAGCGCCTTTCGGTCTGACCTAGGGAAAATGTCAGTTTCGAAACTCTTTACGGTGGCCAATTTACACTAAATTAATGTATCGAACCAAAATATCCTCACCGACTCAGAATCCCTTTTTTTAGAAACTTATCCCTTTTATAGAGGTTTTGCATGGCAGCCATGTTGCATGGCAGGAACAAAAATATTTTGCATAAAAAAAAAAGATTTTTTCCCATGGCAAAAATAATATATTGCTCCTGCCATGCAACATGGCTGCTGTGCAAACCTCTATACAAGGAAATAATTGCTTATTATAAGGTACATTTTTTAAAATAACTGACATTGCATCTGTAAACTGTATATGTGTGGGCTTTTAACGCTTGATAAATTTGCTCAGAGGAGAGTATTTTAAACAGGTCAATGACGTTTTAGACCAGTTACGCTCAGATCTAGGTATTTTTTAAAATAAATAAAAAAAGTAAGAATAACGCAGGTTTTCTCTTTGTTTTTTGTTTTTTTTTGCGTTTCATCTTAACACATGGGAGTGGGGAAACTCTGCGAAACGTCCTGAGACGCTGTTTAGAATCTTTTCAAACCAAAGTTTCAATATGAGGCGAATTTTCCTGCATCCCGAGTTAGTTTCCTTTTATTTCATCCTATTTCAACGGGTTCGCCCTATCCATGAAATGTAGCGAGTTCGCCCCCGTTCCTGGCTTCACTTGGTCGCATTCAGAATTTACGACTGGATTCCTTATTTCTGGGAAAATCAAAATTCATTTGGATCGCCATGCAATTAGCTGCAGAACTTTGCAAAATTTTGATCACTTTGCAAAGTTTTATCCGTCTGGCTTAACTGAAATGTAACTGCACAAGCAAATCCGCTATGTCAGCATGGAAAAAAGTCAGTTTTTCTTTGCATTTGATTCCTAGCAAAGACAGGTGCTGTTTTAAGTATTGGAGTGTTTGTTCCGTCGCATTTCGTGTTTTGCCAGCGCGCGGAAAAGACCTGAGAGATTGCGTAAATGGAAAAGTAAATGAAGATCTTTGATGGCAAGTAGTCACTTGAAAGATAAACACAATTACTTCCCTGTCGATTTCAAGCTGAGACCACCTCGAGAAAAATTTATATCAGAGTTTATTATATCGCCCAAATCATTGTGGATCTTGCACGATGGAACCCTGGTGCTGTTTTGAGATAATTTTTTAGTGAAATCACTTAGTGTTGTCACGTTTGTTGGAGATTAGATTTCAACAGGTGCAAATGGTTTCTGCCTCTTAATCGAAGCGGACACTATCCTCGCTTTTGCATGGCAGCTAATTTTCGCAAAACAGGTTAGAGACTGATGGCCGGATTTGGATGAAAACTAAAACCCCTTTTAAGAACGCTTCTAGAAAGAGATTTCCTACCAACCTTGGCAACCACACCAATAAAGATAGCTTTCTAAGTTGATCTTCTTCATACATCAACTGCTAAAATGGTCTGGATGCGTTGAAGCTAAAGCTTGCAGAAGTGTAACCCACGAGGAAAATAGAATATGGGACATTGTAAGATATTGGCAACAACCCTATCATTCCTAGCTTTTTTGGGTGGGTATCAATTTCGTTTTTAAAAGATTCATTCTGAATCTGGTCATTAGCGCAGGCACTTTCAGTATGCCTTCTGAATGCTCTTTTAAGCCGATTTCGCAAAGATAGAATCAAAGGGCTAAAGATTTCACGGGTTTC